AAAAGAAAGTGAGAGCTTTATCACTACTTGATTCAAAACTCGTTATAAAACTACAGTAATTAAGACAAGGTGGTATGGCCTCTGGGTCCTGAAAGAATCCACGTCAAATATGCATGAGGGAATTTTTTTTTTTTTGCATGATGGAAAAATTCTATACCTTGATTGCAGTGGCGATTGCACAATTGAAAACATTTTTCAAAACTCACAGGTCTGTACACTTAAAAAGGAAAATTTTACTCTCTGTATATTATACTTAATAAAAAACATTCATGCTTAACCTCAATGAGCTTGGAACAAACCGGTTTACTATTGCAAATTAGGGTATTTATCTTGCAATTAATTCAATTCTCTTCTTCCTCTAGTATATATTACCCTTTGTCACTGTGATAAGGAACATTTTCATAATTAAAAGTTGATGGTGACAGAAATTCTTTTCTTGACCAAACTTTAGTCAGGCTCCAGAACCTACTCCTAGGCCCATCTGTGCACTTCCTTGTAGAAGCCAGTTTTGGCAAGAACCCTGCTCCGTCAGTTTAACCAGAACCCCCCACCCTCCACACCCGATCACGTTGCTCATCCTCCACCATCCCCCAGGCGATGCCTTGATCGCCCTGGCCTGTCTTCAGCAGAGGATCCTGTTGGCTCTGTTTAGCCAGAATCCCCCAAACTCCTGATGTTTCCTCTTAGTAATTTTCCACCCACCAACTCCCATCCTGCCCCTTGGCTATAAACGCCCACGTGCCCATGCCGCATTCCGAGTTGAGCCCAATCTCTCTCCCCCCCCCACCCCCCCCACTGGAAAATCCCATTGCCGTGGTCCCTCTCCCTATCATGATGCTTCTGGATAAGGTCTGCCTTTCCATCTCCGTAATGGACTGTGGGAGGGGCCTTCACAGTCACATGATCTCCCAGAGCTACAGCATCCCCGCCCCCACCCAGGGATTTGCTGTAATGTGTCTTGGGACCTGAACACAGGAAAGACACACCAGTCTCAGGGCAAGCGATGGAGGGTTAACCAGAGATGAGGCCAACAAGCAACGTTATCTTCACCTTCACTTGCTCCCCGTAGTCCCTGTTCTCTGGCTGGTCCCTCTAATTAGCTGCAGCAGGGGAGAGGTGGCAAAATCGAGACCTAGACCTCAATGGGTATGGCACAAACCAGTTTGCTAATTGTAAATTGGCTCAATTATCTTGCAATTAACTGAACTCTCTTCTCCCACTAGCATATCTTAGCCTGGCCGTGAGTTTTCTCAGCATGTGCGTCTAGGTCAGGCTGCTGTAGGGGAGGGCAGCCATCGGAGTCCTTATAATCAGCCAGTGTGCTCATTAACGTGCTTGCAGGGCTCCAAGGACGGTGTGCACTCGGAGCCATTTTTTTTAAACCCCTCGTCTTGTGGGAAGACCAGGCAATTAGGGAGTGCAAGTGGAGGGGCCGGCTGAAGCACGCTAAGCGCTGCCAGGCCCACTGACGCACGCTGGGATGCACGCGCAGCCAGGGTGAGCGCCTCGTCCAGTGCACCCCTGGCCAGAAGGCCTAGGGGTTCACCCGGCGGGGGCCAGGGAGTAGGCCACTACCTCCACTGGACGCCGTGGTGGCTTTGAGAGCTGACACGCACGGCTCACACGACACCGTCCATTTCACTTGGACATGGAGTAGCATTTCCCTTGTCCACACAGCCAGATATATCAGAGAGCACACGTTTCTCGACTGCACTTCTCCGCCTGAGCTTCAGTCGTGGCTGGAGCAGAGGCCGCCGGCGCCCTGCCCGAATCCCCATGGAGCTAATGTTGTCCCCGCAGATGGAGCACGACGGCGAGCGCTTGTGACTCTCCGTATGAGGGTATCTATCGTCCGGCCACGTCAGCATGGGTGGCTCTCCTAAGCGGCAAGCCGGAGGGACAGGGAACAGTGCCGGGCCTGTCCTCAGCCAACGAGAGAGAGGAGTGCAGGGATACACACCCCAGCTTCCTTGCCTCTCGGGTAGCAGACCCCGACGCGTGTTCGGTACCGTCCCCCCCCCCCCCGCCCCGCCAGGACCTCCCCAGCAGGGCCCAGCTGTCCACCGCGGTCTTCTGCTCAGGGACGTGCCCGCTGTTGTCCTCTTTCCCAGGTCATCCCCTTTCCCCCACCGGTGCTTCTGGGGATGAGCTCCCAGGTCAACCGCTTGCACTCAGATCCTCTTCTCAGGGTGCACTTCTGGGGAAACCCAACCTAAGACACAACCAGGGCAACACCGCAGATCTGGGCCATCCCGTGGCAGGGGGGCAGATGCACCTCTCTCTCTGGCCAGTGACAAGTACCCCGGGACGGGGGCTCAGGGGCTGCATTTGGATCACGCTCATGGTTTCCAGAGCAGGTCTACAGTGGAGGGGTTCTCAACCAGGGGACGATCTTGCCGCCCCCCGCCCCCGCCAGCCGGGGACTGGCTGGCAATACCTAGAGCCACGTTCGGTTGTCGCAGCTGAGGGGGCGAGGGCCACGGGCATGCAGAGGTCCGCGCCAGGGATGCGCCGGACGTCCCCGCACAACACATGTCAATAGCGCCCCGGTCCGGCCCTCCTGGCACCGTCCAGGGCACCAGAGCCAGAAGACCTGGCTGCGGGTGCCTTCGTGGTCTCCGGAAGGGGGATAAAATATTTACCTGACAAGATTCTGAGGAGCCTGGGGTAGAGGTAACTAGAGCGTGGCGTCCATCATTCCTCCATTCGACGGTGCCGACCTGGTGCCAAGGAGTGACCACCCGAGTCGGTGAGCGAACAGGGATGGCAAAGACATGGTCTCTGCCCTCGGAGCATCCGGAGGCCGGGTGAGGAGAAACGGTGCCCACGCTCAATTCCTTGCCAAGGTGAAGGCCGGCTGTCCTCAGGCACGCGGCCCGTGTGCAGGGGCAGGAGAGCAGGGAGCGGGAGACACGCTTCTTGGAGGTCAGGACGGCATATCTGAGGGGGAGAAGGTGGAGACGGGCAGGCCTCTCAGCAGAAGCGGCAGCCGTCTGCCAGGACGGGGCGCCCTGGGCGGGGTGGCCTGTCCGTGGCCGGTGACTCGGGGCGAGCACAGACACGTGGGAAGGAGAGGAGAGAAGAGCTGGGAAGGAGGCGGGCGCCACCTGGCCAGGGGCCCATCGCAGGGCCGGGCCGGGCCGGGCCGAGGCGAGGCGGGTGAGGCAGCTAGGGCACCGCCCGAGCGCGGCTGTCTCCCTCAACCTGCCGCCCCAGGCCCCCTCGCTTGCCTCACCCGGGCTGGCCCTCCTCCTCCTCTGCCCTGCTCGGAAGCCAGGAGTCCGCTCCCCGGGCCAGGGGCGGCCAGCTGGCCGGCCGAAGTCTCGCACTTCCTTCTCTTCCGGGAGGATATCTGGATTACGGCGTAGAAGAACATGCTTTAGCCATCCAGTGTCAGACTTAGCCTAAATTCGGGCAAGTGGGGGTGGGGAAAAAGAGAGGCAGGGGAGGATGTGTAAAAGAGTGAAGAAACTGAACTGGACTTCGAGCCCCCTTGAGGCGCTCCACAAGGATCCACTTGCCCAGAGACAGCCGATGGGCCAGCAGAAAAGCATTCTTGTCTCTCCCCGGACCAGGGTCCTCTATCTCTCAGGAGCCCTCTGTCAAAAAGTGTTGAATCCTCTCTCAGTGGACCGTCCTATCTACGATACATGCAACTGTCACCATTGCCATTGGTTAAAACCCACCCCGGTTTTACAGCTGTGTGAAATTCGGGAGTTCCCCCGATTTGTCTCGGCTTCTTTTCCTTTGTGGGCCTTTTCTATGAATATCCCATCATCGCCGTGTCTCGCGTAAACCTCGAGATTCTTTTAAAAACCTGCCCCGAAAGGCCGGCACATCTCAAGGCAACAAAGGGAATGGAAAACAAGGGCCCCTCAATCCTCTAGGAGCCCGTCACCTCCCTCCAGATCCATGCTTAGGATCCTGGCTGTGGTCTCCAAGACCGAGTGACGGCTGGAATGTGCTGCCATGGCCCGGGACAGGGGCTCTCACCTTTTCAAACCGATAGTTTAATCCTGAGCCGTAATTCCCAGACGAGGCGACTGGCCCACGGCATCCTTTGTAAAGCGCCCTTACTGTGACACACAGTGCAGCACGAGGGAAGTAACTCAAGTATCAGAAGGGCACGTCCTGTGCACATCTACACGCCAACCATCAGGCGGATCACCGGAAGACTCAAGGAAGAATTCCGACGCCCGCTCCAAATACAGCGAGCCTCCACGTAAGCGGAAGCTGCTACACACGTGGACTCTGTGGGGTGTGTTCAAGCGGTGATGGGCACCAGGCGCAGCCCTGCCGTTCAGGACAGGAGACTCAGAAGCAGCGAACAATTCTGGGTGAAGCGCCGGCCAAGAAAAGAAATGAACAGCTTCCAAGGCTTGCGCGACAGCCGCATTCCTGCGCAAACCGGCGCGGACTGGGACCGGACCGGAAAGTGCGTATTCTTCGGCTTGTTGCCTCCGCGTCGGTGGCGGCATGCTCTTGGCCTTGAGCGGAAAACAAAGGTCCGGCCCTGCAGCGGAAGTGCGGGCTGTGGGCCTCAAGGCCCGGAGGCAGAGGCAACGACAGGAGGAGGCTTGAGGCCCGCCGCCGCTGTGGCCTGCAGA